TTTGCATTTACTTTACATTACATTACATTACATTACATTTACATTACATTACATTTTACATTTACATTACATTACATTTTACATTTACATTACATTACATTACATTACATTACGTTACATTTACATATTATATGATATTATATTATATTAAATTATGCTATATATTATATTAAATTATACTATATTATATTATATTACTTTACATTATATTATGTTATGTTATATTATAATAATATTATATTATATCATATTATATTACATTATATTATATTCTAGTAACTGATGCCGCCGTTTTTATTGTTAATGGTTATCTATGTGATAACACGATGCCGCAAAACAAAAGGTCTAGGCATATTTGAGACAATAGCGAAAATGCACATGTATATATGAGAACGTAAATTATTTAAATGGGATTAATGTGAAAATTATTTAATTAATTAACCAAGTCCATCGGATTCCTCTTGCATCCGAGATAATCTTGTGCGTCGCTTCGTTGATTTCTTCTGCGTTTTAAAACATATTATTCTACCGAGCAGCCGAACTGCCACCATTAAAGAAAAATATAGCAGAGTAAACTCAAAGAAATGATTACCAGTTCGTTATTATTTTCAGTATTTTCAACCAGTTATTTTTCCACCCATATCGACGTAATCGGTTCAACCGTGCTACAATAATTCCGCAAAAATCGCGCGTTTCCGCATTTTAATGTCTTTCCGAACGTAACATAAAATATTCGTCGCATACATCGTACATAAATAAACGCTAAAATTAGTCCTAGTTTGACAGTTTTTTGTTATCTTTTCGATCGCGCAGAGAATCAAAAAGTCAGAGGAAATAGAAAACGAAGTGAAAATTTTTGTTAACGCATACTCGAGAAGCATCGATAATAGTTTCGATAACAACACGGTTTATCGTAACTTGAACAAAGAGTTAGACTAGAGCCGAATCGATACGATAATTTATAATTAATATACAGCGTGTGAGATCGATCTGAGAACGTGTAAATATTCCGGAAAATATGAACGACGCAGAGAAAGTGTTGGAACGAATATTGTAGGGCAGGCCCTACAAGGGCAGGCCCGTGGATTCAAAACGATTTCCGTGTTATCCAGATTTTTCGAGTTGATCGTGCATTTTCAGATAGACCGCACACCCTGTAACGTACATATGTATATACGTGTAAAGAGTGTAAAGTGTAAAGTCTATGGTGTTAGGGGTATTTTTCAAAAGATTAACCTTGTATTACGAAAGTATTAGAAAATTGTAGAATTTTCCAATTTAAAGTCGAGAACGAGGGTAAATAAGCGTTATATTTATAAATCCATATTCCATACGATGACAAATTCGAACCTTTCACATATTTCATCTGCTATTTGGAGAAATGTTACTCGGTGTCGAGGATTATTGGGAAAGTAGTAAGGTTTTCGAGACTGTACTAATGTACTCTTTACGGCCGGAAAGAAGTCGCACTTGGAAGGAATGGGGTTTGTTTTGTTGTTAGGCCTATATAATTTAGCTTTGCCGTTTGTCAAAGTACGGCGACAATTACGAACAAGCGTAGTCTTCTCTTGTTGCAGGCCGACCCTCGTAACTTCTTTCTCGCGGCAGACAGTACATATTTTCATATACAATATACATAATACGTATGTATACACATATACGCGTTAACACGTAACAACGTTTACATACGGATACACGTATATAAGTATATAAATTGAATGGATATATAGATATATACAGATATATTTATACATTTGTATCTATACAGATACGCAACGATTATACACCTTATGTACCTTGTGTCCGAAAATAGGTGTACACGTGCATACGAGTGTGCGTAGAGTAGGCAAAGGTCTTTGAAAATAATATTTTTACGATAAAAAGCGGGTATACCTCGTGCAGCGTTTTTATACTTCTGGAAGAACGAGATGCAAATTGATATATATATAATAGGTTAGCAATGTTCAAGTGCAGTATCTATTATGCTCATCTAATCGATTACAGCGTTACAATAACGTATTATGTTAGTACCAGTGTAACTTGGTCTTGTTGTGTTGAATGAAACGCGATGCCGAATCGCGGTGCCAATGTTGACAGCGGCGTCCGTAATATTGACAATAAAACTACGACGATATTTGCCGGTAACAATTGATAATATAATAAAGCTGGCAACGATGCCGACAACGACGATCGATACCGGCGACATACGAGCAGAATAAACGACGAAACCGAACGAACCACGGTACCGATACCGCTAAGAATTATAAGTAACGATATTAATAAGTTCGCAACAACATATACACATCCACGAACACGTACACGCATCATCCGGCAATGAGAAACAATCGCGGCTCTATCTACAGCTAATGATAACGATGAAACTGTAACGATTCGTCCGGTAATAATGATTAAAAGGAAAAATATAGTATATTCTTGCCATATTATTTTGTATGCTGAGTTTGTCTGTCCGATTACCAATAATTATATATCCGCGCATCCTTCCAGATTCCTTCGATCGTTTTACGCGATTGTTCGTCGAGCGACGATGCGAATAAACAAAATTACGAATAACGAACGATTCATCGGAATCATGTATTGGTGACGACGATCGAATAAAATCAGTATACAACGATACACAGATATACAGTATGTACACACACGCGTACGTATCGATATATTCGAACCGTGGAATCGTCTTAATTCGGATAAACACGAATCGCATTCAACATACTATCATCTAGTATACGTTTTGTAGTAAACATTTTTTTACAAGTCCTTAAAATATTATTGGGTACCAAAGTAAAATCTATAGGGTGCGTATTCTTCTTCCCCTTCCCTTGTTCGATGTCGCATCGACGGCGCGATCGTTAGCGATTTGTGCAACAAAAAAATCGAATCAATGTACTAATGCTAATGTACCGCGCTATAATTATGAAGGGTGTAGGTAGGCCACGCAAGAAATATTTCGACGCGTTCAATAAATAATTATTTATATTCATAATTCCCATACCGACCAGCTAAAAGAAAATACGATAGAAAACGCTTCCTCTCGTCCCAAGGTTTATTTCCGTAACATCCCCCCTGATACAAAAAATATCCTATTCTATTCTATTATCTAAAAATTTCATTCAAGCTCTGATAATACAACGATTAGCTAATAGAATAGAACGTTTTATGGTACTATCTTTATAAAAGAAATGCATATCGGGTGTTCAATCTGTTCGTTCGATCGAATAAAGGTTTCTACCCCTTTAAATACATCCCCGAATACATTCGCACATTCGAGTCCGTTTACACGGTTGCATTAGCGGACGTATACTTTTATGGAACAGATATTTAAACGTATTTCCGGAGGACTTAGCGGCGGGAACGTGCGAAATCCGCTTACGGAAATACGGACGAAAGGTGTACGCGCATGTTCGAAACACGGCGAGTTGGCGCGACGATTCGCGATTCACGAGCATTTGGATTAGCCGGGTAGCCAAGCCGGATCGTTGACAGCGTTTCCCTCTCCTTAGTTAGAGTGGAGCGCTGCGCGGCGGCCGCAATGCTGCTTTGCGGTGTTTTATGTTCCGTGTTTTCGGTTTCATTCGGTGCGATCGTACAAATCGTAGTCTTTCTTCTACAGAATTCAAATGTCTCGAGAGTGCAAGCCTCCCTTCCACCGGGAGCTGGTCAGTTTCCATTTCATTCCTTCTATAAACAATAATCGTACAACAAATCGAAGTCGATCGATCTGCTTCCTTTTTTTTTTTACGTCGCATGAACGAATCACGAGGAATCGATCTCCCGATGCTACGGAACATATTTTGCTGTACGCACAGCGCGTCATAATTTGCAACGATTACTTTTTTCCCTTTCTCTCTCTCTCCCCCTGCCGCCCCTTTCCACCTTCTTCCTACAGTCGTCTATCGTCGAGTTTTGGGACGTTTATCCGACCAGGAGGAGCGTATCACGTGTCAAAAAGCGGGTTGTGAGTTGTGAGAAGCGGGTACTTTGGCAACGCTCCAATCGCGTTGCGGTCTTGCGAATTTTCTTTTTTGAATGCAACAAGTTTCAGCCGATAGTTCGGAAGCGTTTCGTTATCGTTTATCCACTGTATATCGTCGTAGAGCTCTCGATGGTCGCGGTCGCGGTCGCGTGTGTAATCGAGTTCTCGTATTATTTATAGAACGTGTAACGAACGCGGAATGACTTTTACTTCCAACGCGAAACGAAATTCGTCGATCGGATCGATCGTTCGAATCGCGGGATCGACGTTCGTCTCCGCGTTCAGGTACCATTGTCTACGCGTACACGGCACACCATTGTGCAAGAATAATTACTTTGCCCGCGCACCGATTTTTCCTGCACTCGCGTACGTTCGAGCGCCGCCCCGAGTTAAAAAACCGTCCGGCGTTCTTCGATCGGCGTGAAAATTTAGCAAACGTAGACGAAAGAAAGTTGACACGAAACGTCCGCCGGTTGGAAAACTAGACGTCGGTAGTCGCTACGGTCTAGAGGAGAGAGGGCGAGAGAGCGAGAGGAGAGCTTAAATAATTCAAGGATAAGCCGCAGGTGTTCGTCAACGAATCGATATTATTCCTATCGGCGGCACGCTTTCTAACGTGCACATACACCTATCGCGCTGTACGTAAGTACGCAACTATACTACGTATTCTCTAATTTCCATGCGATGCGTGTAATACCGGCGGCACGAGTAACGCTATCTTCCAACAATTTCATTCGAGATGCCGATAGCAATTTACAGTAATGTCTCCCTAATTGACGCTCGGATTGTGCAGCAATGTCTCCCTAATTGACGCCGAGATTGCACACAAAATGGACAATTTTGGAAGAGGAGATACGATTATTCGATCCTTGCGATTCATTTTTATATAAAACGAATTGTCAACAACTATAAAAACGAGCCGCAAGGCTCGAATAATCGTATGTCCTCTTCCCAAATTGTTCATTTTTGTGTACAATCTGAGCGTCAATTAGGGAGACATTACTGTATATTGTATTTGTACGCGTGTATTGCATTTATGTGTACATCTTGTATACATATACATATACATATAACAATCAAAGCGGGACTTCGTTTTCAACGTATAAAAAATAATCGAATGTTTCGTCGAGCTAATTGGACGAGACAATGGACTGTACGACGCGGGGTATTTTTTACAGAAATGCATCGATGCGACGCGATTGTTCGAGCCGATCGATACAATTCCGTGGTTCGCATAGCGCCGGTATATCGTCGGGATGAAATTTAAATCGAATCGTGACAAATGAGTTCACGAGATACGCATTAGCGATAGCTCGTCGTTCGCGACACGGTATCATCGCTTAGTCGGCGAATTTATATCTTGCGATCGCGTAATTACCGAGCCATTTCCTGACAAAAAGACGAACCTCTAATGACAGGGAATGCGCGTAACGTAGCCTAACGAAACTAAGGATCAATCGGAACCAATTTACTTTATTTTCTCCATAGGAACTCGGTTTCATATCGATTTAACACTGCCACCGCGACCCAAGCTTAGCTAAGATGTACACCGTGAGATACCCAAGTTCACAAAAACCTTGCGAATCGTTCGATTTCCATAAGCGAGACGCGTCGGGGTAGAGTCCTCGACAAAAATCCTAGCAAGCTCGTCGTTCTATTCTGATCGATGACCGGTAGTGTCATCGCACAGTTTACAAAAAAACAAAAAAGATGAACGCGAGTTGCGCGATAAAAATTTCGCCCAAAACTTAATTGGAAGCTGCAGCCGCTTCGATCGACTGGAAATTAATTCGTCGACGCGGACGCATACGATCAAAATACTGCTGCGTTCCGATGAACGTTTTAGAGACTAATTATAAAAACGTAGATCGTAGATGACAGAGTATGCGAACCATGCACGTACGATACATCCGGGCCGGAACTGTAAACCGACCGTGAAATCAGGTTGCCATAACAAAACAAAGTCGCAGAAGTGCGGCAGACGAACACGGAATAAAATAGTGCGTCGATCGAAAACCGAAATTCTTAATAAATCGAGGATTTTGCTGTTTAACACGTTCCGTACCGAGCTTTTACACGACTCGTCGCTCTAGCCGTTTGATATTTCGACTAAAACTTGATATATTATACGCAATTGTTAATTATCGTATATACAACGAAGCAACAAAATAATTACGACTCATTCTTGTGCCGGGAATTAGGGACCTTCGATTATTTATTTTTTTGTTGTCATCCCAAGTAATAGCAAACGGCTATTATGGCCTAGGCCCACACACACACAGGGTGCCAAAGGGGCTCGACGGTTTATTTCCCGTAATTTCCATGGGGTACAACAGGCGCCATTGTTGAAGAGAATGAAAACTTTCGTTTTGTTTGTGTTTTTACTTACTCGCATTCCTAGATTTTGATACAGACTTTACTTCAAAACGAAATTTCATCTTCGAAGCAACAATTACCTCTTTTCATAGAATCTTATTTTGCTCTCCATGCATCAACCGCATTTCACGATTCACAGAGAAACAAATATTTCTGATTTTAGAGGACGAAATAATTGTCATCGAGCATCTACCAGGGCGCCGAGTTCATCTGCAAGATTTCTTTTGGACCGACGCGGAAAATGCTCCGCCGTGGGTGGATTCGAATCAACCCTTTTACGAAACTAGGACAGCTCTCCATACGGTAACAATTTACTTGCCTGCCGAAGGAAAAGACGACGATGATTCGAAACCTGAAAGTCGTCCTAGTTCCCACGATCCAAAATGTACCACGTGCATCGAGCCTACGCCAAGACTGGACGACGATCAGAATCAAAATATCGGTATTCTTGTGACGCAAGATCCCGGACCAAGGTTCTTATCTTTCTGTTTATATCATACGAGAAGTTAACCCTTTGCACTCGAGCGATGACTCCGAGGCACCGTTAAAATTTGTTATATCACATTCATTCTAGGATAATTTTTATATTAACAAAGTTTAGATTTAAAACATTGCCAAGAGCGTAATCGCTGTGCGAGTCGCAAGAGTCAATTTCAAGTGCATAAAATGCACTTTGTCATGTGAAATAAAAATACCATAAGTCAGAAAAATTATTTTAGATTTACAGTTAAAATAGTTTCGAGTGTAAAGGGTTGATAACACCCTGGTGGTAGAGTAATTTGAACATAAAAACCGACCAATTGTTTAGCACTTTTACATATATAAAATTTAGAAGAATATAAAAAATAATAGGAAAAGTGCAGGCGACTTACAAATAGATGAGGAGTTCGACGAGGAAATGCAGTTCATTTAAATGCATAATTACACCGCGACAGGACCACAAAAAGGGAATTCAGAGCCTTTGTCAATCGGCCGTATCTATACCCACTCCCGATTGCTTTCAGCATCGAGAACGCGTTAGAGAGCCGTGGCCAGCTGGTGGTCACGGCGAGAAGCTGAGCGCATCGCTAATCTCTAGCGAGAAACGCGGCGCTCTAGCGGCCGTGCGCGATACTACGCTTGGCCCGCGGGTCTCGACCACGATTTTGGGAGTGGATTGGTGCGGAAAAATTACTTAATAAACAAATTATAAGCGGTCAAACTCGAACGAAGTATTCTAATCGATCTAAATTGATCGTAAGCACCAGAATCGATCGAATAGCAAAGCGAGATTCGATCTTACATCCGTTCGTTACAGAATTCCCGAAATTTGGGGAACATTCTGTGCATTGCTTTATCTCTCGTTTTCAGATACTGGTTGTTAACTGTTCTTCGTGCGGGTGAAGCGGTGCCACCTAAAATTGAATTGAAATTGGCTCGTTTATATCGAACTGCATTCTCAAGACAACAACAACGTCATCTTGGACTTTTGCAGACGGATCCGCGATATCAACGATCCGTGGACGAACGACTGTTGGTCACGAACAAGGTAATTCGTAGTGCTTCATAATGTAGATTCGCAACTGAATCGAGTCAAATTCGCTTTCACTTTTTTCGAGTTTTCGCATACCCCCAAGTCGGAGCCACTCGGAGCGCCGAAAGGTGTCCCTATTGTCCCCAGTGCAACAGCAACACCCTTTAGCTGGCCAGGTGACCGGTGCAAGCATGCAATTTAACCACGCACGATTACACATGCGTGGAGCGTCTACCGGGTGAACGTTGTAAAACCATTTGCAACTGTGTGTCGCGTCTCCGTCGCAGTTCGGAATTACAATGTTAATTCGGTAGACGCTCTACGCCACTGCGCGTCGCCTATCCCCACTCCTTGCGTAGTGACTTTTGGTGACCGTACTGTGATCGTCGTAAAAATCCGCGCGACCGAAGGATTGTCCGTAGCAGGTAATAAATAAGAAAAGCGTTTCGACCGGTACAAAGCAAGCGGAAGCTTTAACGAGATTAAATTTATGAACACCGTAATGATTGGATCAATCTGTATTTTGTTTACAGAGACATTTTTGATAGCAGAAATAGAGAAAATGTATTTTTTCCTATTAATAACCCTTACGCGTACTCGTTCTTATTTCGAACAACGTTTTAATCGGATCTAATCCGACAACGGAGACTTTGAAGCGTTCTGCGCGTTTCGAACTTGTCGAAGAATCGATACAAGAAAATAGATCTTGGTGATAAGGATATAAATTAGCATAAATTATATCGTAGTTGGAATAATTTAACTGTCGGTTATAACGCATATGCTGTGTTCGGGGGGCACGTTCCTTTCGATCGACTCCACTATATTCGGTACTATAGTTTCGACCGTGCCCAAAATAACGGTGTTTTTCACGTCTTTCAAGTCGTGATCCGATATCACATATTTATAAGCGTTCTCCGTTTTCTTCGATACCGAAGAAAACTTCTCGCAGATGTACGTGGAGCCAAACATGGCGATCAAACGAGCCGCGCACATGTGCAAGCCGGGAAACCTAGACTTTGGAAAGTTTCTGTAAAAACTTAGTATATCCGTTTTGTTCGTAAACTCGTGCCTCAAGTTCCTGTCGCATCTCAAATCGATGATCTCTAATTGCAAATGAGACGGCACCAATTCCAAGTCGATGGAGAACAGCATGGTTATCACGTTGAATTCGTTCTCTATTTTCGAGATTTCGTTGAATCTCGACGAGAATTCTTCGCTAAGATTCTTCAGAACATTGATGTACTTGGCAAACTTGATCTCCGAATTGACCGTCGACAATTTCGTGAAATGATACGTGTTTCTACGCTCCAGCTGCTCTATCCAAAACTTTAACTTCAATTTGAACGATTCTATCGAGTCGTACAGATTTATAATCGTTTTCCCTTGTTCTTGCAACGACTCGTTCAGTATACCGAGATGCTGGAGAATGTCGCACATGAAGGACAAGTCGGCGATCCAATCGCCGTCTTGCAATTCCGGCACCACGTAGCCCGCTACGCCCATTAGAAAATGAATATCCGTGCGGAGATTGTAAAACTTTTCTAATATATTTGCACGGCCGATCGACTCGACGTCGATGTAATACGGCAGCTGACCGTACTCGTTCTCCAGGACCTCTAAAAACGATCGAAATTGCCAGCACTTGAATCCGTGTGCCCGTATGAAATTGATCGCTTGCACGACCACGGACAGGACATGATTGAACTGGATACACTTGACGCACAAACTTTCCTGATGGATAATAGAATGTATAGCGACCACCTCCTGAGGAACCGCCAAGTTTCGTAATTTCGATTGGAGACAACCGACGAACCCAGAATGGTTGTCTACCATGGCGGGCGTGCCATCTGTGGCGACCGCGACCAGCTTGCACCAATCTAAATTGTTCTGTTCGATTGCCTCCTCCACGCAGGAAACGATATCTTCGCCTCTAGTCGACTCTCCCGGCGGGAAAACCTCCAACAGTTCTTCCGTGACCGTCAACGTGTCGTCCACACCGCGTATAAAGACGACTAACTGCGAAGGGCCTAGCACGTTCGTTAGTTGATCGAGGGCCAACGAGAACGCGATGAATTTCTTCGAGATGGCGATTAACTGTTGCGTCACGTTGTTGGCCATCTCGCGAATGCAGCTGCGGATTCTCTGGCTGGAAACGTTCACTTCCTGAACCGTTTGGACAGCGTCCGGCCATAATTGTTCGGTGGTCGCCAGCAGACACCTCTTGACGAATTCTCCGTCGGAAAACGGCCGTCCAGCTTTCGCGATCTCTAACGCGATATTGTAGCTAGCTCGAACTTCCGGCTCGTTCCTCCGTAACTTTTCTTCCTGCAATGAAAATCGTTTCATGTAGTAATAGTCTTCCATACGATATCAACAAATGAATTCGAGTATTCTGCGTTTAGTATTCTCCAACAGGGGAAGGACTCTAATTATCCGACTTCTCTATTTCAACGGGTCCTTGCAAGGTGGTAGCATATATAAGTCCCTAATGATACGTGTAAAATATCAGATGTAAATACTCGATAATTTTAATTAACATTCAAGTCACGAACCTTCAAAATATACCACGAACAAGGATGGTAAGTCAGAGTTGTATTAGCGAAACGAGTAGAGTGTCTGGCTGGTAAATTCAAGGTCCCGGGATCGACTCCCGTTCAGTGAAATATATATTTTTTATTGCAAAAGTTTATTGCAGTCGCGGCGTACACGATGCTCGATGATAATTGTATCTACGGCTAATATTTTACACATATCGTTAGGGTCTCATATATGCTATCAGCTTGCAAAAACCAGTCGAAATCGAAGTCGGACAATTGAGGTCCTTCCTTTGTAAGCATAAGCGTAGCACCCTTCTGTCGTCGCACCCCGCAGTTGCACCGCAGTTCCACCGCAGTTCCGCTCGACATAGGACAGTGTTTGTTGCTAATAAGTCGTGCAAAATCGCGGATATCATTTAAGCTACGGAAAAAAGTTACTTCAACGGGAATCACCCATTTCGCGCAATTAATATAATTTTGGGACACCGTGTATAACGGCGCTGCGTGTCCAAGCTGAACCAGACTGCCGAAGCCGCCGCAATATCGATCGATGCCGATTCTTAAAGTTTTATTCGTGACTTCGCTTATCTCGTAGAACAGATGTTATTAATTCTATCGAGAAAAGTACCTTTATTTACTGTACCCAATCATTCGGAATAATAGAGTACCATTAGATCATAGCGCGCCCAATGAAACGCGTATCGAAATTTGGAAGTATATTAAAAATTAACTTTGTACCGAAATAATTCTTGAACTAAGTAATAGCGAAAAAGTTATTTTAATAACTTTTGTATAAAAATATAGCGAAAAAGAGGAAATATTGAAATACAAATTAACGTGCCGACGTTTCGTTCGTCGTGTAGTTCTAGCTCTAAACGATTCGGGAGCTGCTCGACGGGTCCCTTACTCTCACTTTGCGATACATCGTCTCGCTCGCTCTCCACATGCTTCAGTCTTGCCTGTGTCACGTGGAGAAACACAAGCGAGCTCCGAATCGACGATAGAAAAATTAGATTCATTGATCGAGAATGATACTTTAACGACTTTCTAACTTTTTTAGACAATGTCGCAATTATTTTCACTTCTGGCAAGAAATATTCAATTAAATAAGTTAGCACAATTACTATGACACTATAAGAGCTATTCGCGCAAGTATAAAAATTATGAAATGCTGCTTACTACGATACATCAGCTAATTAAAATGAGAACTCTGGTTAAGGGTAATTAAAAACACTACTAGAAAAACGATAAATATTCTCTTTTATTGATCGAATCATTTATTAAGTATGCAGTTTGAATTATAAAAAAGATGTATACGCTTTATAAAATAATGCATATAGTATCGTTCTATTTTTTGAAGTAAACAAAAATACTGCCTTACGTTTCGATAGTATCTCGGTATAGATAATTCTTTTTTGTTTGTTTCCTTTATAATTGGCGATAACATCTCTTAGGTCTCGTTGCAAGCGATTCAACATATCGGTTTGCTTCGTTTCGTTTATTTATTAAATACTTTTTGTCCAGATGTAGTCTATTATGTTCGTAATAATTCTTACCTCTTCGAGTAAAAGCGCCTCTATGTCCAGCAGCTTGCATTTTAGCCTGTCCACCTCCGCGAATCGCTCCTCGCGCGAATATCCTCCATAATCTTTCGCGTGATACCTGTTATAATGTCGTTGGAGATTGTACTTTTTCAAAGAATTGAATACCTTGCGGCAGATAAGGCACTTCGGTGTTCCTCTATGATCGGTGAAGAAATACATTTCTTCCCATGCAGGTTTAAAATGGCGTTTCGGTGTAGATGTCGATGGTTCATCCATGATTAGAGAGAAATGTCGGTTTTTTCACACTTAAATATATAAGGATATCAAAGATCGGTTATTCCGAACTTAAATGGAACTCCTGATAACACTTTTCATTCGTTAACGTGGAAATTAATGAACGCCGCAGTGTTGATAGTTTCCACGTTTCCACCGACCTCTCGGAGCAGGCCCGAGCAACTCGCTCCCAAGAGCAGTTTTTGCTCTGTTCGGGCAGATAGCCAGACAGGAGCACGAAGCCACGCCTCCCGGAGCAATGGCCACATGGTGGGGAACTGCACACGTGTTACTGTGTACGACAATAGAGCGCGCACCAGTTTAGTCGTTAGCATCGTTAGTATGATTCGGAACTACGTGTGGAAACACGAATCTTTCGTGCACCATGAGGCATAATACGATCATAGATCTGGCAACAGTCTGTGCAAATACTTGTGCAACGCGTAACGCGGTGAAATAGCTCGAATGATATTTAATCAAATTTTCTTTTCATTTTTAATCGTATGCTAGGCGAATAATAATAATAAAACGCAACTTTCCGAATCGTTTGTGCGTCGATATTAGTGTTAGCATAACGGTTAATCAATTTTTATGTATTGGAAATTAAAAACTCAAACAAGTCAATTGCAGACCGAACGTTGCTCGTGCATACACGTGGCGCTGCGATCAGCTCCACCACGGAATACAGACATACCTATAGTGGCGCGGGCGCGACAATATTTTTCGTGGTCTCCTGGAAAACGAGAGTGGGGTGGTCAGCCATCTTATGTAACGGTGCAATAAGCATTGTACGCGAACGTCGTATACGTGGCACCGATTTTCACGGTGTTGCGTTCACTAACACGACGACAACGTCTATAAAAGATGATCCGATTTCTCACCTTCTACTCGCTCTTACCACATACCGCGTACCACTTTCGACTTTGTTTTCGAGCAAACGCTGCGCATTCTCCCTTTACCGTAGGTCAGTTACGTAGAATCGTCTGGCTACTTGGAGCATGTATACCCTCCCCGCCAATTTTCTCGAGTGCGTACTTCTTTCGAAGTTCGAAGCATGCGGTATCTCTTCGGTATCGCTCGAGAAGGGTACAGTTCCACTCGAGAAGCCGAACGCTATGCCGATTCGTTTTCCATTTGATATCTGTAAATATCGAACGAAATCATGCCAGAAAGAGAGAAACCTTCGCAAACTTTTACAAGAGAATTTGAGACAAGATTAATAAGTCTAAAAATACCACCTAGCTCTTACGATGTTCTATGCATCGATCGATTAAAAAAATGCAGTTTAATAAAAAGTTTGGATAATCTTAAATTTTGTACGAAACTAAAAGTATACTAAAATAAAAGACTCGCCTGTGACTCGACTTGTGGCAAACAAGTTGTCGGGAATAATTCTCTGTAAAATACTAAAAATTATAAAGGGAAGCAACGGCTTGCCAAAAATACTGCTCGCTCGTTGAGCACGGGTAGATCGATATTGTCTACGATTCCTCGCGAGGAAGCAAATTTATTCGAGATAAAATTTGCCCAAGTCTGTGCAATACATAGACGATGTCGAGCCATCTTGTGAAAAGTGACCGTCGTTCTACTTTTCGTGCCCTTCGGCATCGACCCAAACCGAAACAGAAGCCATCGCTGCGCAGCAGCGTCGATCGGGACAAGCCTACGTAATGGAAACGGGCCTAGAGGTTATCTCTCGTTCAACCGTGTTCAGATATCTCAACGAAAAAATCTGTAAAATAATTAAAGACAATTTCAGAAGTTCGTATAATGCAAAAAATATGTAAATATTTCAATTTTCATTCGTGCGTGATTTCCCATCTGCTTACATCGTATGCCATAGTCGGTCACTCTTCGACGTTCGGCGCTCGACCCTACATTCTAAACATGTGGCGCCTCTATCGGAGAAAAAGCAAAGCTTCGTTCGATGTCCATACAGCGCCAATCGGTGCAGCGGCAAAACGCTCAAACGGTTAGCCAAATTCGACTGTTGTTAATTCAGGGAATTGCTTGACCGCTGTTCTTCTACGATTAACCATCTCCTTCGTCTCTCACCTTCGCCCCTTTCATTTCTTCATCTAACTTCTCCATCCAGTCCTCTCCTCTACCATCCACGTTTGATATATTTGTTATCTTTTCTCGAATCTCGTCCACCATTCCTTCCTCCTTCCTGCACCTCTTTAACATGTGTTCACACTTGCTATCCTGACCCATCTCGCTTCCTTTCCCTTTCCTCTTCAAATACTCTGAAATCTTTCCCTCTCTTTCCTCCCTGTACCCCACTTGTCGTATCGTAAATCTACTATCTTTCCATAGTTCCCCCCCCCTTCGTATCCTACTTTCTTTCCTCTCTACTTTCTTCCACTCCTCCTCTCCTCTCCTCTCCTCTCCTCGCCGCTCCTCGCCGCTCCTCTCCACTCCAACATCTCCTGCTCTCTTCCTTTTCGCCATTCGCCACAGTCGCACTATCCACTTTACCACTCATACACTTCTTTCTCTTCCCCCCTCATTTTGGTAATTTCGTCAAATCGACTTAAAATACTTGCAAATTGTATCAGGAAAACATGCGAGGAGGTACTACTGAAATTTCGAAAAATCTCGAGTATCAGGAGATTAGTATATCTCCAAATTCTTTATCTAGCTTGTGATTGACTTGTACTACTGAAATTTCGACAAAACGAGATACCTCCTCGCAAAATTTCGAAAATTGTATCAGGAGAACAGCGAGGAGGTATTCTTTCGAATGTCTGGCCTGACGTTGACTTGTACTACTTATCTTGGAATTTTTCGAAAATTTTCGGAAAAGTACGAGTCAATGTCGGGCCAGACATTCGAAAAGTATACCTCCTCGTATATCATGTTCTCCTGATATAATTTTTAAAAATTTTCGAAAAGTTCCGGAAAAAGTAGTACGAGTCAACGTCGGGCCAGACATTCGAAAAGTATACCTTCTCGTATATCACTGTCTCTTATACACATCTTGAAAATTTTCGAAAAATTCCAAGATAAGTAGTACAAGTCAACGTGAGGCCCTGTCTCTTATACACATCTTGAAAATTTTCGAAAAATTCCAAGATAAGTAGTACAAGTCAACGTGAGGCCCTGTCTCTTATACACATCTTGAAAATTTTCGAAAAATTCCAAGATAAGTAGTACAAGTCAACGTGAGGCCCTGTCTCTTATACACATCTTGAAAATTTTCGAAAAATTCCGGAAAAAGTAGTACGAGTCAACGTCGGGCCAGACATTCGAAAAGTATACCTTCTCGTATATCATGTTCTCCTGATACAATTTTCGAAAATTTTCGAAAAGTTCCGGAAAAAGTAGTATGAGTCAACGTCAGGCCAGACATTCGAAAGAATACCTCCTCGCACATCGAAATTTTTCTGAAAATTTTCGGAAAATTTTCGGAAAAAGTAGTACAAGTCAACGTGAGGCCAGACATTCGAAAGAATACTTCCTCGCACGTCGTGCTCCTGATACAATTTTGGCAATTTCAGTAGTATAAGTCAATAAGTGGTGTGGGAAGAAGAAAGGAAAGGAGAAAGGGATTCAAAAAAAGATTAAGAATGGGTGCTAGAGGATGGTAGAGGAGAGGAATGGATGGAGAAGTTAGCTTAGGAAAGGAAAGGAAGTGAAGAGGAACGGTGATAGAAGATGAGGGTCATTGAATATGGATGAAGGGTGGAAACGGTGGACAAATAGGGAAGGATAGGCGAGAGGTACGATGGGATGAAACAGGAAGGAATGAGTGAGAGAGAGAGAGAGAGAGAGAGAGAGAGAGAGAGAGAGATTGCGTTGATTGTGGAAGAACTGTGGAAACGGTGGACAAATGAGGAAAGAAGTGTGAAAGGGAGTGGCAGGTTGGGAGAAGAAGGTGATAAATAAAGAACATAATAGTTGAATTATAATGATATATTTATTATGTAGATTATATTATATATACATTAATTAGATTAGAATTTGTTGCATTTGCTGTTCGAAATAGTTGTCACGATGTCGGTGCAGGTGATGCTGGCGGAAGTACTTCAGGTATGGCTAACACACGAAGTTTACTTCGATTGTTACCTATTAATTAATCGCTGATAATCCAAAATCGTAGAGGTGAAATCTATGGAGGGAGAGGAGGGTATTGAATCGTTCGATTCTGCGTTAAAATTGAGTGGCCCTGAAAAGGGCCGATATAATTGTTAAAATTTTCCATTGTCGTGGTTCTTCGAGATCGTAGCCTTTTACTTCTTTCCTGGTTCCGCGGAGCACAAGGATGAAATGAATCGTAATGCCGATTCTTCTTGTGGAAAATATCTTTACGATGCTGTAATAAAAGCGATCGGGGTTTGATGATTTTTCGATGTAATTTCGGTATTATTTGTATTTCTACCAGTAAAAGTTCCAGAAGAGATCCCTAACAATGTATCCATAACCATTTGTTGTATATATGAATTGTAATCCTTTAGTTATAAACAATTTTCCATTTCATGTTCCAATATGAAATATCGGAGCAAATGATTCGTGTCACTTTGTACATAAGAGATAAAGTAAAATCCGGCACGAATTATCTGCTGCTTTTAAACAGCCTAACAGCGCCACTTTCGTGCAGCGGCAAAACGCTCAAACTGTTCGCCAAGCAACGGTTCCCTGCAATTCGCCGCGCGGTAACACTGCGTGCGCGCGACATCTGTCGGCGGGTGTCCCAAGTCTGAGGCGGAAACTTAAATCAATACTCGCCGATAGATGTCGCGCGCACGCAGTGTTACCGCGCGGCGAATTGCAG